GAGGTGGATGGCAGGAATTTGGACGAGGAAACTCAGTTTTACCTCTAATTTTCCTCTTACAATCCGCTCAAAGAGAAGGCCTGGAAAAATAAAACTTCAAACAAAATTCGGGATTTTCTCTAGCAAACCCAATCAGGGGCGTTGGCGATTAATAAACGCTTAATGCATTGACATCTATGCGTCGAACGATCTTTCCCACGATGTGGCTATCATGAAGAAACCATTAACCTTGCCATGTTCATATGTCCGCTAGCAATGCAATGTTTGGCGCTCTCACACCTCCAAGCGTCAAGCTTCCCTTTTGACATCTTTGGTTCGAATATGGATTATATGCTGTTTAGGATGCATAGCCGGGACATATGGGATGTATTTACAATGGAGTCAAAGCTCGAGATGGCTCTTCTAACAGCCTTTTCAGTGGGTTCATCCTATACAAAAAATTTTCGGTTACGAACCATATAGTGGAGCGTTCGTGTTCAGCGAACACGGATTGAGATGATCAAAGTGATCGAGTTGCCTCGGGTAGTTTTGGCTGAGATAAGTGAAATGAGAACGTTAGGCTGGCCGAGGCAGCCGATCCAGAACCTCACCGCATATAAAGAAATCCGGGTCGGGTGTTTGAGATAGACCATCTGCTACGTCACTGATAAACCAGCTGGTTGCCCTGAGTCTCCATGATATCTATGTGAATATGAGATTGTAAACTGTTTTGGAACACACTACAAAAATCATCTACTATTTTGGAGATTGTCAACATCTTCAAAGATATCCATCTATTGTCGACGAAGTTTTTGAAGATGTTAGTCCGTTCGTATTAAGAGAAGTCGCAATGAAGTTGTTAATATTTTAGCTAAGTATAGTTCAAATGATTCAATTTTCTATTCAAACTGTAATCGCACACCAATATGGCTAATGCCATTTTTGTATCATAGACTACATTTGTTCTAAGTTATATGAAATTTTAAAAGTTTGACGAAAAAAAAACTCAAGTCGAGGTTTTAGCTTCACTCGGATTCGGTTTAGTGAACTATTCCGATCAAAGTCGGGTTGATATTAGAGAGGTTAATAATAGAGTTGACAAGTCTCTTCTCTC